GTTCCTTATTCTGGTTCACGATGGCTTGTTTCCCGGCAGGGTGCGACGGGAGCGATCATTGGGTGCGGTTTTGAATAGGTGATGATGGGTTGCGGTGGTGTTGGGCGTTAGGTGTCAGATGAAGGTTAATTATTGTGGAAACCCTAGCATATTGCTTACTTGTTTCTAGTCCATCATAATCTGATTCTTGATTTCATCTGGCAAAGCTTCTTCGAGGTCAGTGCTTTTTCACATACTTTGTAGCATTACATCATTATCATATTCTTCATTTATGTATCATTTGATTGGATTTAAATACAATTAAACAGATGAATACTTAGCTTGATTCGATCAATATTGAATTACGAAAAACATAAACGAATCAGGGGTGTTTGGATGCACTATTTGAAATCAATTATAGCAACTTTCTGTTTTATTTGAGCTCCCTTAACTTCATTGATAGTAGTTTAAGTTCGAACATTTCCATGGATCATTCATAAATATTAAATTGTTGGGATTTGTTCTTTTGTCTGTATGTCCATAGAGTAATCAAACATTCATCTTTATATTTATTTCCTAATGTTCTATGAATTGATTCTTTATCTTTACAATCATCAAATTTCAAATCGATAGCATTTAAATTGTCTGTTATCTTGTGAAACGATTTAAGTGTTAATTGCAGGTAAATTGTTGTGAATCAACCATGATGGAAGCCGAAAAATTGCTACTTCAAGCAGCTCTTGAAATTCCAGCAAACCAGAGATTTATTATTTTATCAAACATGTATTACCCCTAAAAGACTTGTTATTATAGTTGTAGCCTATAGTTACATGATTACATCAAATATGAGTAAATGACCATTTTAAGCTTTCTTGATTCACTATAATCCTTGGGTGTTTTCTATTATACCAATGAAGAAACAGCAAAAAAAGGCTCACAGGTGAATTATATTTTTATTTTAATACCATTCTTGCACAATCTTAATACACTGACATAATTGATTTTCACTTGTACATATGAATTTATTTTATTCTTATACAAATACATTAAAAGCCACTAATTTAAAGTACATTACCATTGTATGCATGTAGTATATCCAATAATCAAATCTAGAAAGACTATTTGTCATACATGTAAGTCACTTTTCTATTTTGTTGTAATGTTAATTACATTGAACACAATTATAACAAAAAGTCTAAAATTTTCTATTTTGTTGTAATGTTAATTACTTTTCTATTTTTTTTAAAGATACCATACTTCTTGTATGGTATCTCTTTCTGACAAAAAAATATTAAAAAAACTGCAATTATTTGTTTATGGGAAAAAAGGACAATTATGTCATTTTCTTTATAGTATATGAAAAAACAAAAACAAATGATTAAAAAATGAAAGTATAGATTCTTTTTTTCATTTATAAATGATAAAAGCAATGTATAGATGTGTAAAAAATGAAAAACTTAAACTTTACATGAAAAAATAAAACTATTTTACAGAAATGGTCCCTATGGCAGATTTAGCATTATAATTTTCAGTTATAAAAGTATTTGACAGAAACGTATGATAGTATATGGTGAAAAAATAAAAAACTTAAGTTTTATGTTATAAAACTCTTTGACTGAAATGGTCACCATGTCAGTTTGTTTTTACACAAATGGTGATGTTGGTGATAAACTCTTTGACAGAAATGGTCATTATATCGAATTTATATTTAACAGTAAAACAAAGAAAAGTACATTGCTATAATACCTAAATGATCCATTAAAGTTGGGATGAGTACAGTTAAACAAAGAAAAATTAAAAAGTTAAAGATTTACATGTAGCTTTCTATAATACATGCAAAGCTAATTGTTTTTAGCAATTGTTGAGTAAGTTGAAAAGTACATTGCTATTATAGACCTAGCAATGGTTTCATGCTTCAATTTATTAATCATTTTCTATCTTGTTTTTTATACAGAATATTGACAAAATAGAGAATGTAAACTGCTCGCGGTTGTAGTCACACATGTAAGCCACTTTTCTTTTTTGTTGTAATGTTAATTACATTTAATACAATTTTAATAGAAAGTTTAACTTTTTTCATCTAAAAAGTATGTGAAAAGAGTTTTAAAAAAATTGTTACAACAGAAACTGGCATTAGTTCTTTAAGGAAACAAAGACAAATACGCCATTTTGTGTATAAGTTATGAAAAACAATAACAAATGATAAAAAAAAAAGATACCACACTTCTGTTGTATGGTATCTCCTTCTAACAAAAAAATGCAAAAAAAACAACGATTATTTGTTTATGACAAAAAAGGACAATTATACCCTTTTCTTTATAATTTATGAAAAAACAAAAACAAATGATTAAAAAATGAAAGTATAGATTCTTTTTTCATTTATAAATGATAAAAACAATATATAGTGTAAAAAATAAAAAACTTAAGCTTTATGTTATAAAAACTCTTGATAGAAATGGTCACTATGACAGTTTTTTACATAAATGGTTCTGTTGGTGATAAACCTTTTCAAAAAGGTCTATATGGCATTAACAACATGACATAAATAATCATTTGTCAATTTTTACACAAATTACAAATGCAACATGATATTTGATGGTATGCAAAAAACTTGACATTATTTGTTTAAGGAAAAAAAGGACATATATGCCCTTTTCTTCATAATCTAACAACAGAACTATGGTATCTCCTTCTAACGAAACATATAACATACAAAACGAAAGTAGGATGATATATGAAACTGAATTCCTCAAAATAAGTAAGCGATTGAGAAGAAGAATCGTAACAGAAGGAGAAGAAAAAGAAATAAAGTAAAAAAAATTATAGATCACAAAAACGTAAATCACTAACAATTTTTTACTGTAGACTAAACAGATGAAGATGCACCTTCGGTAGTTTGTAGAGACGAAGAAGAATTCTCGAATGATAGGTTCCAAGACGCTAATGAAGAAGTGAAGAAGATAATAATAGGGAATCGATATTTGTAAGTTAGAGGATTATGATTAGCTGATTTTAAGGGATTGTATATATCTATTAAAGTTTGAAATTTTTGTTTACATATATAATGTGTAATTTGAATGCAGTGTAATCGAATATGAAAACAAATTTCCTTAATCTTAGGAGAAGAGTTATTGACAATTGAAAAATTACATGGGCGGGAAAATCAGTCATAGAGTATTTCCGAGATTGACATGTGGCATATAGCAGGTGTAGAAGGGCGCCATGTGGCGGTGTAGAGAGTCTTTTATTAGGATTAGGGATTAGGGATATATTCCAGTTTAAGGAGTAATAAACTAATAATCACCATTGTCTCAAAGAGTACGCAATATGTTGATATCTATTCGATGTCATTTTTCTAGAACTCCCAATTATATTTAGATGACTTAACTCGTTCATCTACCTTCTTTTATCCACACCCACAATCCCTTGAATTTGGATCGAAATTATTCATTGAGGATCAGTTTGACCTTCAATCCATTTATTATTGCTTTCAAGTCTTTTTTGCGTCTCTTTATGTTATATCCCATAGTTCCACTTAACGGAATAGTAGAATATCTCATCTATCTTGGAGAATCCATATATTTTTTGTTTAGAGTTTAAGATAACAAGCAAGATTTATTGGATTATTTTGAGCCTCTAATTGCAAATTTTTCCTCATTAAAATTAGAAATGCAATCAATATCCACCCCTCGAACACTTGAATTGGGGACTACCACTGGAATGTTCATTACCTCACAGACTGTATATACTTCACCAATCTGATGTTGCGGTTGGCCCTTTGCTGCTATGGTTTTTTGAATTTTCAGTTGGGCTGATGTTAGTGTAAAAGTCTGTTTATGCTGTCGGGCCTTCGCTATTACAGTTTGAGTTTTCTGTTATAGCAAGTTACAACCTATTTCTGCTATTGGGTCACATCTGATGAAACTTGCAACCATCAGACTTGATGCATAAGTCCCTAGACTTGTAGATGCTGCTGTTGGAGTAGTCGGTTGTGAGCGGATTTGAGGTGTGAACCAGACCGTAGTGGAGTCGGAACAAAATGTCAGGAATAGCCCATGTAAAATTTAGGGTAGCAAGCGGGGAAAATTGCACTAAACCAAAAAAGATCTAAACAAATTTCCATCATGCCAAAAAATTTAAGGGTTAGCACGGGTTACCCGGAGCTCCCACTAAGGTCTGCCCCTTAGACAGATACGTGAGTGTGAATTCTACATTGGCTCCTCTAGAATTCCTATTGTGTGTTATCATCAATAAAACTTCCTTCAACATTATGTTCTTTATTGGTTTCGATGATATTCTTCAACAATATTTTCTATCAAGGTTTCACCTTGAGCAAAGGTGCCGCTTACCTCATCCGTGAATTCTTCATCTTTCATGTTATTATGTTTGTGGCACTTCAGTTGTCATTAAAAGTTAAAACCTTCGTTAAAGAAGTTGTGGTTAGATTGTTTAGAGTTTTCCTCTTGACCTTTCACTTTTTTGTTTTCTTCATCTTTAAACACTCGGGTCCAAGCACTAACTTCTTTCACTCTTCCCACATGCTAACAACCATCAACATCAGCCATTATAGCATCGAAATTGATATTCATGGTTGAAGATCTAACACATAATTGAGTACTACAAAGGTTTTCACCATGGGTATCATCCATGTAAAAACTGTCACTACAAGAAACCGGACCTATAGGGACGACAAATGTCGTCTCTATAGGTTCTAAAAGTCGTCCCTATAGGTGTCCGAGACGACATATCGTCCCTATAGCTCTCGTCACCATAGCCCCGTCGCAATAGATCTTTTTTTCCATCGCTATAAATATCGTCGCAATAGGTAGCCTTTAGAGACGACATGTCGTCCTTTTTTGGTTCGTCGCTATACGATGCTAGTCTCCATAGATAAATCTTTAGAGACGACATGTCGTCTCTATAGGTGCATCTATAAAGACAACAAGTCGTCTCCATAGATAAAGCTATAAAGACAGCATGTCGTCTCCATAGATGGAGATATCTAGTTAATACGTTTCATCCTAAGCAATAAGTTTCGCAATTGCACCTACTAAAAATACCTGTTCACACACCAAAAAAGAGCAATTTGAAACAATAGTTGTCATGCCCTTTGATTCATGAAGCTTATTTTGGGTATGAGAATGCAAGATTGTAGGGCGTCTTTCAGGCTTGCTCTCATCATCCACCAAATCCAATCCCACCACCTTTATAAGATTATTAAAACATTACATACAAATTTTTATGAAATAAATCAAATTCAAATTATGTAATGTGTACAATTTAATTGGTACCTGTTTCAAGAAAACATGCAACTGGGGATGTGAATCTTGATCGATTAAAACATTATCTAAAATTGTCTGAAATGATGTCACAATTCCCATTTCTTTGTATATGTTGTAAAGCCGGGGTAGCTGAACAACACAAGTATGCATATAAATTATAATGTTAGTTGATATTAAAGTATAAACATTTGGTGTCTTTTAAAGTATTGTAGTAAGAGATCACCTGAATCAACCAGACAAGATTCTCACTGTATAATTCATTGTTTACAATCCAACTAGCTAAATTATCCCATTCACTTTGCTTTCTTCCATATATAGATATTCTGTATTCAACCATCTGTCAAAAGGCAAAAGCTTTAAGTGTAAGTGTAAGTGTCATGCATGAATCAAAACAGATAAAAGGAATAAATAAATAACATGGATTTCAAAACTCACTTGTCCCATTCACTTTGCTTTCTTCCATATATAGATATTTACTCGCTTCAAGATCTGCAAACACTTGGCTTGTTACCTCAGCAAGGAAACGACCTGAAAAAGTAGTGAAACTTACCCTGAATAAGATTGTCCTATTTCAAGAAAATCTCCCGAAGCCTACTTTGACCACAGGGGTTGTATTTCAGATTGAATTTATCAAAACGATGAAATGTGCTCTTGTCTGCATGCACATCTAATTGATCAACATTCATGTCATATCTACATTTAAGACTTATGATCAGAAAAAAAAACATTCACACAAGAAGATATAATTGTTCTATAGATAGTAAAGTTACCCGGTTAAATCCAAGCTCTCAAAAACCTCTTTTAAGGTCAAATATGTCCCATCACAAAATATTACAACCTGAAATAGGAAAAAAGAAACTTTGATTCATGCAAAAGAGAAACACATGTTTAAATGATCAAGAAATAGATATGAAGCATTACCTCATCTGGTTTCCTTCTGAACTTGGACTTAATGAACCTCAACAGATGCTTTTGATTCATGCTATCTTACAATCTTTATCTGCATAAATGTGAACCACGCCATCTTCCATTTGAAAATAATGCTGCAAGCATTTGAATATCAAGTCAAGATTCAAGAAAATAAGCATCAAGAACAAACTTATGTCAGAAACTTCAAACCTACATCATATTTTGTCTCAGGGGTATACTCAAAAGGATTTGGATTACGCTTTGGAGAACTAGGATCAGATATAACTTGTTTCTCCCATGGAGCAATGCTTTCTCTGAACACATAGCTCTTTCGCATCTCAAGACAACCTTGTAATGCTCTATAAACCTCTGCTTCATCAGAAGATGGTGTCTCTGCAATAAGAGGAGTTGGAAAGAAATAAGATTATTCAATTTTCAAATACTTGTGTGTGTATGTGTTTTCCTGCATAGATGAAATTACAAACAAAAAGAAAGAGAGAAGATTACCAAATGGGCTGATTCTCAGCCTTACAAAAGTCTCGTGCTCTGGTTCTTTCCTAAGAATATCAGCAGCTACAGGATCTGGTTGAACACCATGCAGGTCTCCAGATACACTATGCTCTCCATTTGCATTATTATGTTCTGGTAAGCTCCCATGACCCTGTTTGGTAGATGCCAAACAGATGTTAAAAAGTGTGTGTTTCAAGATGGAATATCAGGTATCAGTTACAAACACACACGGAGATCTAATAATGTATCAAAAGCTTACAGCATTTCCATTAGTATGAAGGTATGTTGTATCTAGATCAGCATTGTCAGTCATATCAGCATCTTCTTCAGACGAATAGGAAGTAGACAGAGAGAGTAAAAGGGAAGGAATAAGTACCGATTGGAGAGGATACGTGATGATTTGAGCAATGATACCTCCGCCAGCTCCGACAAGGCCATTCACGACGGTGTTCGACATTCCTCTCCGTCAATGATTTCTGTGAGAGCTATGAAACCATAGAAAATCACAATTCCAGTTTCAAACACATAATTGCTAACATAAACCCCAATTCCAGTTTCTAACCGAGAATTACTAACCTAGGTCGCCAGAGTGGGGCTTGTAATTGTTAGAATTCGTAACCGGGGGTGAAAAGGAAGCCGGTAGTTGGAATCGTCGGTGTTGAAGCTGATCGTCGGTGGTCTTCGGCAACTAGCATGAGGATCGGTGGAGAGAGGAAGAAGATTTGCCGGTGGTGGGAGGTGAGGAAGTCGTCAGGGGAGAATATTTGACTGATCGATCGAGAGAGACCGATGATTGATTACTTAGCGTGTGTGAATGAAACGAAGGGACTGTTCCAATTTTGGCCGTAGAGAGCTATGAGGACGACAAGTCGTCCCTATAGCTATCCCCAAAACGACCTTCCCCCATTATTTCCGTCAAAGGATTTAAAAAATATGTTATTTTTTATTTTTTGTTATTTATTGGAGCGATATGTCGTCCCCATAGGTGTTTCAAGAACGCGCCTAATTCGCTTTCGTTCCCGCCTAACATGTTGAGACGAGAGGTCGTCGTTGTAACTTCAAAATTCAAAAATAATTAGTCAACTCTATGGCAACAACATGTCGTCTATATAGGGCGACTATTGCGACGACATATGTCTTCCCTATAGATATCGTCTCTATAGGTGCTTATTCTTGTAGTGTGTTTGCCATTTATAATCAGTTTTCTTAAAAGAATTTTGAGAGCAAGATTTTAATGGAATATCTCCAATATCGATCCCAAACGAATCCATTAGAACAAAATCATGTGAACGAAGAAGTTGATTAAACCATGATAGCATCTTATATATTGTGAGCTTAAAAGGTTTTGCAAGAACATTGTGAAGTGAATTCAAACAACACCCATCAAGCTCCGATGTACTTTAAGCTCACATCAATAAAACCTTCATTTTTGAACAAATGTTGAATATTGGGAATGGAAAGGATTTTTTTCACCGGACATCAATAAAACCTATCGTTGAACATAAGTTTTCACCAGACATCACATACTCACATTGTATAGAATTTTTTATTATTGTTTTTAAAAGTGATTACATCGCTACAATAGAAAAGGAAAAATAAATAGGCAGATTGTTTACATAAATATTGGAAACCCCATTAAGGCTAGGAACAGATTACATGATGTTGAGGAAAATTAGGAGAAGATAATTATGCAATCCAATACTCCCCCTCAAGATGGAGTGTGTAGATTTCGCATGCCCATATTGTCGAGTAAAGGTTCAAGTTGTCGAGATCCCAAAGCTTTGGTGAAGAGGTCGGCTATTTGCATCTTTGTGTTGATACAAAGAGGTTTTATTTCTTGAGATTCGACCTGTTCTTTGACGAAGTAACAGTCCATCTCGACATGCTTTGTTCGCTCATGAAAAAACGGGTTATTCGCGATGTGTCGTGCCGCTTGGTTGTCGCAATAAAGTGATGTAGGCCCACTTTGGTTTAGCTTCAAGAACCTTTAGGAGCCACCACATCTATAAAATCTCACTGGTGGTGGTTGCCATGGCCCGATATTCAGCTTTGGCTGAGGATCAAGAAACAACATTTTATTTCTTGGATTTCCAAGAAACCGGAGCTCCCTCTAAGAGTAGAATGTATCCTATTTGTGATCTTCTTGTGAAGGGGCACCCTAACCAGTCGGCGTCACAATACGTGACCAAGTTTGTTCCTCCTTCTTTAGGGAAGAAAACACCTTGTCTCGGTGTCACCTTTAAATACCGAAGTACCCGCATGACGGCATCCAAATGGCTTTGACGAGGGTCAGACGCAAATTGGCTTAGGACGTTTACCGGGTATGGGATATCCGATCTTGTGGCTTGGAGATAAATCAATCTCCCTAGTAACCTTCTTTACATGTTGGCATCCATACAAATATCTTCAACATCAAGTTCGAGTTTTAGACTTTGTTCCATCGGGAACGAGCTCGGTTTACACCGTAGCACCCGCTATCCTCCAAAATGTCTAGAGTATATTTATGTTGGCTAAGCACTAACCCGTGTTTCGTTCATGCAACCTCGATTCCGAGAAAGTATTTAAGAGGGCCAAGGTCTTTAATGTTAAACCTCCTATCAAGATGGGTTTTCGTCTCTCGTATTTTCTCTTGGTTATTTCCCACTATGATGACTTCATCGACGTAAATGAGAGCACCAACAAACACCTTCCTTCTCTTGTATGTAAAAAGTGAGAGATCAACAAAAGATTGTTTAAACGCAAGTTCGAGCAATACTGATATAAATTTTTGGTACCAGTTTCTCGAAGCTTGCTTCAAACCGTATAGCGACTTCCTTAACCAACACACTTTCGTTCCTCCCTTTTTATCATAACCCTATGGGGTTTTCATATAAAATTCTTCGTGTAGGTTCCCATGCAAGAATGCATTATTCACATCGAGTTGGTGAATAATCCACTCTATGTTAAAGACAATGGCGAGTAGACTTCTAATTGTGTCCATCTTAACCACCGGGGCAAATGTGCCATGATAATCAGTGCCTTCCCTTTATGTGAATCCCTTCGCTACTAGCCTAGCCTTGTACCTTTCTATTTCTCCATTTGGTTTGTACTTTATCTTATAGATCCATTTTGAGTCTACAACTGTTTTCCTATCTGGCAAATTTTCTACAATCCAAGTGTCGTTTTCCTCAAGTGCCTTTATCTCCCTTTGCATTGCATCCCTCTAATTTTGATCTTGTACGACTTCCTTAAAGTTTTTCAGCTCATCATTGGAATTGATGGCCATTTGTAACGTTTGGTCCAGGTATTATTTATTTCTCAACATTTTGGGCTTCTTGGTTGGAACTCGACGAGTTAGGGAGCTCCAACTCGTCGTGTATGGATCTATTTGGACGCGCAAATTAAGCACCCAACTCGACGAGTTGACGCTGGGGATGAAAACCATAATTTTGTCGGGCTTTGTACCCCATTTAAAGGACTTAACATCTCCTTACCAGCCTCCTTGCCCAGAGAAAACCCTAGAATCGCATTCCTCCTTGTGATGGGTTTTGAGCATTCTAACACTTCCTAAGTGTACATGCAACCCTAATAACCTTGAATCTATGTTTTCTCTATATACATGCAAATTTCATTTCCAAGGTTATTTCCTAACTAGCATGGCATGGGGAATATATGAAACATAAAAACTAGTAGAAATACATACCTTGTTGTTGCTTGGATTCCTTCAAGACTTTGTGAGCCTAGCACCCCAAATGTTGTGCCTCAAATGCTTCACACAACACCACAAGACTTGGAATAACTTGAGAGAATACTTCTAGCACTCAAAATCGGTTATGCCCTCTCTAGTAACACTAGGTCCACTAGGTCATCATTTTGCTAGCCATAGGGTTCCTTTTATAGTGTTGTCACAATTAGGGTTTACACATGAATGCCCTTAATTGTCATGACTCTTGATTTCCCATGACCCATGGATTTGTAACTCCCATGGACTATCCATGGAGCTCCATATGGTTACATCCATAACCCATAAACCATGGATCATTAATCCACCATAAAAGAATTGATGATTGTCATAATCAACCCTATATATTTAATTAGTCTCACTTTGATCACCAAATTAATACTAGATTAATACTTGATCAATACTAATTAAATAATACTATTATTAATATATTAGAACTTATAATATATTAATAATCATAAGTGCCTTATTCTCTCATTTAGTCTATCCAAGTATTACAATGCCATGCAACCCAAATGGACCATGCCGGGTCGGGTCAAGTACATACCAAATAAAGTTATGGACTTAGACACTATATCCAACAGTCTCCCACTTGGATAAGTCTAATAACTATATTTGCAAATATGACTTCAAAATCCGACTAGCAATCGTAGCTCTTTCAAAGTCTCTCGGAACTGAGATGATGATGATACGCCATTTAAGATAAGTGATCATATAATCCTCTGTTCTCATGATATCAGCCGGACAAACACATGGAACATGGTCTTACTTATTGTCCAGCATTTGTTTCTCGATCTCTGATTTGTTTCGACATAGAACTAAATTGAACACATCAATTAGGTTCTGACCGGGCCCGGTACATAAGTCAAAACCAAATCATCGAGGGGCCCAGATATCGCTTCTATTTCTAGAAGGAACAGATAAACTTCGACTGATATGCTTGTACTAACTACTTGTTGAATTATTCACAAAGGCACGTTTTATAACATCGATTTACCAATGCGTTTTCGTACAATCAATGAATAACCAACTCATAGTCAACAACTCATATCTCTAGGTTTGAAGATTTATATGATATTACCGTCTCACGATCACTCGAGATAAATTCCATGAAGTGATGCAAGTGAGCGTGGGTTGAATCCAATACTCAACCCTTATGAGTACTCATGAATGTTGTAGCAACCATTGCATTGTCTAAAGCACTTTAGACAAATCATACAAGCCAAATTCATGACAGTCTTGATTCATATCTACTTCCAACATATGACTGACTGTGGATGGTTTGAATAATATGATATATACCATAACATAATTATTCTGGAAGTCAAAACATGCAAAGTGAAACATAAGAATAATACTAATCTTATATGGCCCCAACACTTTGAGTGTAAATAAAACACCTTTTATTTAAGCACCATATTGATTACTCATTATTTATGTTTCGATTAATCAACTTTATGCTTGAATTAAAACATTAGTTGTCCCATGCTCCAAGCATGTACACTATGGTTTTCCAAACAACAATTATGCCATACTCCAAGTATGCATACTATGTTTACATATGGTCCTCTCTTTGTGAAATAGATCAATTGACAATATTCCAATGATGCTCATTTCACAATTCCAATCCTTGTTGTAAATGAAAGAATACCAAACTCTTGCCATTTACTGTAATCTGTTAGATTCTAAACTTATATGCAATGATCCCCTTGTAATGACTATGCACAGAAGTCACA